ATTGAAATTAACTTTCTTTGTTCTCGTTTTTTATATTTCTATAGAGCTAGGACTATTTTCATTATTAATTAATCAACCAATTATTTTGTTGGAAAATGTATTTATCTTTTTGTTTCTAAAACATCAGACACTTAAGAGTAGAGATAAATAGAAAGATTTCAATTGGTCGAAAAACCAAATACAATGTTCTCTTGATTGACTAATAGCTCTAATTGTCTAAATACCAAGCATAGAGTAGTTATTAAGGAAGTGAGTTGAACATTGACATTTTTTAATTGAAGTTTTGTCTCATGTAATGTACTTAAACACATCAATTTGATTTCCCAAACATGTTCCATAATGTAACAATTCAATGCTATATCATACATTACATTACATTACATTGCATTTAGCTGACGCTTTTATCCAAAGCGACTTACAATAAGTACATTCGACCAGGAAGACACAACCTTGAAGAAAACAGAATCATATAAGTACATCAGGTTTCATAGAGCCAAACATTTCAAGTGCTACTCAACTGGCTTTAGGTAAGCCAGTCCTTTATTAGTATAAAAGTGCTTCGTTAATAGTTCTATCGCTCGAAAGAGATGAGTTTTCAGTTTGCGCCGGAAGATGTGCAAGCTATCTGCCGTCCTGATGTCAATGGGGAGCTCATTCCACCATCTTGGAGCCAGGACAGCAAACCCACGTGTTTTCGCCGATGGGAACTTGGGTCCCCCTCGCAGCGAGGACGCAACGAGTCGTTTGGCTGATGCAGAGCGTAGTGTACGCGCTGGGGTGTACGGTTTAACCATGTCCTGGATGTAGGAAGGGCCAGATCCATTCGCAGCATGGTAAGCAAGTACCAGTGTCTTGAAGTGGATTCTAGCAGTTACCGGAAGCCAGTGAAGGGAGCGGAGGAGCGGAGTGGTGTGGGAGAATTTAGGAAGGTTGAAGACCAGACGAGCCGCTGCATTCTGGATGAGCTGCAGAGGTCGGATGGCACATGCAGGTAGACCAGCCAGGAGGGAGTTGCAGTAGTCTAGGCGTGAGATGACGAGAGCCTGGACCAGAACCTGAGTCGCTTTCTGAGTCAGCTGGGGACGTATCTTCCTGATGTTGTAAAGCGTGTATCTGCAGCAACGGGTTGTAGCAGCGATGTTTGCAGTGAAGGACAGGCTGTTATCTAGGGTCACACCCAGATTCCTTGCAGTCTGAGTCGGGGAAACAACTGAGGTGCCGATGTTGATTGTCAGGTCAAGAGCTGGACAATCTTTTCCCGGGAGGAAGAGCAGCTCAGTCTTGTCAAGGTTGAGCTTGAGGTGGTGAGCAGACATCCACTGAGAGATGTCAGCTAGACAAGCAGAGATGCGTGCGACGACCTGGGTCTCTGAGCGGGGAAAGGACAGAATTAATTGGGTGTCGTCAGCGTAGCAGTGGTAAGAAAAACCATGCGGGCTAATGACTGATCCGAGCGAGTTTGTGTACAGGGAGAAGAGGAGGGGACCAAGAACAGAGCCCTGAGGGACCCCCGTAGTTAATTGACAAGGGTCGGACTCAGACCCTCTCCAAGTCACCCTGTAGGTACGGTCTTTCAGGTATGAGGTGAGGAGGGAAAGTGCAGAGCCTGAAACTCCAAGTTTTTGGAGAGTGCGAAGGAGGATCTGATGATTCACCGTGTCGAATGCAGCAGACAGGTCCAACAGGATGATGACAGAGGAGAGGGATGCAGTTTTGGCAGTGTGCAGTTCCTCCGTGACAGCAATGAGAGCAGTTTCTGTGGAGTGACCTGCCTTGAAACCAGACTGGTGCGGATCCAGAAGGTTGTTCTGATTGAGATAACAGGAGAGTTGTTTAAAGACAGCGCGTTCAAGTGATTTAGACAGGAACGGGAGGAGAGAGACAGGCCTGTAGTTTATAACATCAGACGGGTTGAGAGTGGGTTTCTTTAGGAGAGGGTTTACTCTTGCCTCCTTGAGACTGTTTGGAAAGTGACCAGAAGTTAGAGAAGTGTTGATGAAATGGGTGAGAAACGGTAGAATATCAGGAGCGATAGTCTGAAGGAGGTTTGAAGGGATAGGGTCCAGAGGACAGGTGGTAGGGCGGGCAGAGGTAATGAGGGTAAGAACCTCACTTGGAGAGAGAGGGGAAAAGGAGGTTAGTGTGTTGGTGGAAGGAAGGTCTGGTGACCCAGCGGTGAGTAAAGGTGAGTCAGAAAAAGAAGAGCGAATATCATCAACCTTTTTTTCAAAGTGGGTAACAAAGTCGCTTGACAGAAGTGAGGAGGGGGGAGGAGCTTTTGGAGGGTCCAAGAGGGTGGAGAAGATGGAAAATAGTTTTTTAGGATTGGAATAGGAAGATTGGATCTTATCTTGAAAGAAAGTGCTTTTTGCCTGAGAGATCGAAGCAGAGAAAGAGGAGAGGAGAGCTTGATAGGTTAGGAGGTCGTCACGGTGTTTGGATTTCCACCATTTCCGCTCTGCTGCCCTAAGGACGGTTCTATTAGCACGCAGTGCATCATTTAGCCAGGGAGCAGGAGGGGACTGACGAGCCTGCCGAGATGTGAGAGGACAGAGCGAGTCCAGAGTGGATGAGAGAGTAGAGAGGAGAGTTTCTGCAGCAGAGTTTGGAGGCAGTAGTTGGAACGAATCAGAGGAAGGGAGGGCTGAGAGCACCGACGAGGCAAAGGTAGAGGGGGAGAGGGAGCGAAGGTTACGGCGGACAAGTGTAGGATGGGAAGAGATTAGTTTGTTATGTTTGGAAAGGGATAGAGAGAATGAAATGAAGAAGTGATCGGATGTGTGGAGCGGGTTTACAGAGAGGTTAGAAGTAGCGCAGTTCCTTGAGAATATGAGATCAAGGACATTGCCAGCTTTATGAGTCGGTGGGGACGGAGACAGTGAGAAAGCAAAGGCGGTTAACAGAGATGTTAGTTCGTCTATCTTCCCCATCTGGAGGTTGAAGTCTCCGAGAAGTACAGCGGGAGGGCCAGTTTCAGGGATGTGTGAGAGGAGATGATCTAATTCCTCCAAGAAGTCCCCCAAGGCGCCTGGCGGACGGTAGAGAACAACAATGGTTAACTGTATAGGATGGGTTACTGTGACGGCATGGAACTCAAAGGTGGAAGGAGTGAAGTTAGGTAGCTTGAAGAGGGAAAAGCTCCATTTGGGAGAGAGCAGGAGACCAGTGCCACCTCCTCTGCCAGTGGGTCTGGGTGTATGGGAGAAGGAATATGCAGTGGAGAGAGCTGCTGGGGTGGATGTGTTGGATGGAGTAATCCAGGTCTCAGTGAGAGCAAGGAAATCCAGAGACTGCAGGGAGGCGTAGCCAGAGATGAAGTCAGCCTTAGGAACAGCTGACTGGCAGTTCCACAGGCCACCTGAAACTAGATGTTGGATCTCAGTGGAGCATGTGGGATAGACGAGAGCAGGCCGGTTATATCGATTACGAGATACACGGGGCCAGTGATAATTGCGAGAAGACACATGAACAGGAATGGAGAAAATACACATGATTATAGCATGAGGGGCTAAACAACAAAATGAAAAAAAAATAAAAACACCAACGATACTTAGATCAATCAAAGTAGGATTTGCCTCCTCTTTGCCTCCCTCGTGACTCCCGTAGGACTCTAATGTCTTTGTCAGTCTTACTCCCGTAGGACTCTAATGTCTTTGTCAGTCTTAGCCTGTCTGACGCTGACGCTCCAGGAAAGTGATACCTAAAATGGACGCCTGATTGCTCAGTTCTCACAGCTGTAGGGGCACGCCCCTCTAATTAGTTAACTATCTACAGCTGATGGGCGACAATAGACTGGCCCTGCCTATATTAATAATGCAGGCTTGAGTGCTGAGACCTGTAAAGCAGGTTTCGCCTGAGCAGATCTGAGATTTAAAATCTCTCAAAAGCGATTTAGCCGTTTAAGCTACAGTAACAATTATACAGAGTCGAATAAATGAAACCGAGAAGTCTAATTAAACAAGAATATAACTTACAGTGGTTGCTGCGTCAATAGGTAATGTCGTCACCGGGTCCAGATGCACATACAAAAGTGTAGTTATTCCTATCATGTTAGGAACTGCATCCTTATTTGGTTAATTGGAAACATGGCTTTTCAATGATGGTTATCCGACTCTGCAGAGGTTAATGTATGTAAATGGAGGTGTGTTTTACAGGTAGTTCTGGCTTCAGAGAATAAAGCTCTGTTTACCTGAGAGGGATGTGTGCAGGGATGGTTTGCCAAACTTTTTCTGCTGTACCCTGCTTTGCAGATAAAGTTATTTTTACCCACAGTGAATGCCATATATTCGCTAATGAAATAGTTTACACTGTTTTGCAAGATTTGTCATCATCAGTCTGATTCAGTTCAGCGACAGCCGGTGATTATGATTGATGGACTGATTGATCCATCACCTTGTTCGTTTGCCTCAAAGTAATTAACAAAAATAGCTCGGCTCAGGAAAAATAGAAAAACTGGAGAAGACTAGAGACAAGCAACTCATCAGTTACAATCAGAGGGGACGTGTGAGACAGCACTGTTGGTCAAACACAAGGTTGGAAACTCAGCAGCTGAACACACACTTTACCCAATAGAGTCTGCATTGAGACTGCAATTTAGATGTATGGGAATTTCAATCTGTAGGAGACAGGGCTGTCTTTATTTAGGAAGGAAATTGGTGATATGGACTTGAGCATGTAAGTGCAGTGATGCATTGTATTGTCATTGTTATGGTGCCCTTTTAACCTTCACACTTTGACTGTTTGCATGTACTGTAGATTGTCATGAATAATGAGCTATTGGGAAAGAAATTCTGCGTTTTACACTATATGAGAGTCCTTTTTCATGACAGACCTTTGCATAGACAACTGCTTATGAGTTGTTGGAATCTTGGACGCTTAAAGTTCATATTCTGACACCTTTTAGTTACTGTTAATGCAATGACAAACTAAAAAAAGCAGCGTTAGAGGTTGCAGATTTTCACCCTGCCTGGTCCTTACCCTTTGACTCAAAGTATTTGGAGTATTTCTTTGATGTTACCAACAGCTATGTCTTCGCTGCCAAGCATGTGGGTGTTGTTGTGATTGGAGCACGTTCTCTCTAATTTATCTTGTCACTCCTCCATCCTCTGGGGGTGTTTATGAGCTAACTGGAAGAAAAAAACAACACAGCATATCTGTAAACAACATTACAACAAACTTGTCTTCCATTTTCTGTGTCTTACTTTTGGGTTTTTCTACCTGCTTGACATGTTTTGTTCTGGTTCAGCTTCAATTTCAGCTGCTTAACTTTATGATACCGCTGCTTATCTGCACTTGAGTGTGAATTCTGTACTAAAAACTGTAACAGCTAGAGCACATTTGGAATAAACCTATCAATTTGGGATTTCACTGCAGTCTGCAACACACAACCTCACAGCTCTGTGTTGTACTCAAACAAACTAGTCAACAGTTTGCAATGCTTGGGGACCAAAGCATTCCCAAATTATTGCTTTTGTAAATTTGCAATATGGAGTCAACTGGGAGGATCAAAAATGGAAATGGAAACAAGCATTTAACTTTGTATGACTTGTTGAAATGTCTGCCTTGTGCTGGACAAATAAATAGTCATCAAAGCTCCTTCAAGCCATGCAACCACAATCACGGTATTACAGTTTATGAAATTGAGATCAAGTGTGAGTGGAGAGCCTGAGTCATTGTGGCTTAGTGCCGCACGGCCCAGGGCACCGATCACACTGAATGCAGGCCAAGGTTAACAATCATCCGTGAACGCTAAGCTCTTCAAAGTGTTCCTTCAGATGTTTAGTATTAGCCTCTGGTCTTTTTCCTTTTTCCTTTGCTATGTTCCACGCTAACCACTGATGCAATCTGTGGCTCATTAAGACCCAAAGGATAATGTCCATCTGGTACTAAATAGTGATTATTTGACCATGCCCCACAAGGAAAAGCATGATGTGGATGACAACAAAGTCTTTGAGTGAACTGTATTGAACTGCTGTGGTCTTTTAACACAAAAACAAAGCCCTCTCGGCCCTCGCCTCGGCACACCATATTTGTTTTGCAGCTTTCAGCAAACAAAATGTTCTCCTGAGCTTAATGCGACTCAACATGGCAAGTTCAATGTGTTAATACTTAGTTCTCCCAAAGGCTATGCAAACATGCAATTATCGCGTTGTAAAGCACACAGAGTGCTGAACAATCAGAAGCTTAAATCGAAGTAGCTTTTTAAAAAGTGAAACAGCAGGAATAGAGTGGAAAAAGCTGTGGTTGGTTTTTAAACCCACAAAGGTTACATAATGAAACTGACATCTTGCAGTGATGCTGTGGAACTGATGGATACATTTTCAAGCCCATTTGCATTAGATTTAAAACACCATTTGTGTTCTTTTAGTCATAAAATGAGCCTCACTAGACCATTTAGTTGATTTATTCAGGCTTTTACAAACCTGAAAATATCTAAAAGGAGGTTTTTAGTGAGCAGCCATATCCATAAAGGAATTTAGTCGTCAAAGACCCTCTGTAAAATCATCTTTCTTAGCTGTGATTTAATCAGACTAGTTGACTGAACTCATTCTCAATTACTGGAGCTATGTGGGAGAAGGAATCCTTTGAGCCCAGAGGCTTACACAACATGTACATTAACTCATTTGTACTCTTCAGACTGCTGCTGCTTATTACTCTACAGCATATATAAACATTTTGACAACATACTGTGGGAGTTTTAACAGTGTTCAGCTCAACTTTCCACCAAGGGTGAAAAGGTGTTACGCATTTTTCTTAACAGCGCACTGACCCTGCAGTGCTTTAAGAAAACTTAATTTGACTGATTGAGGCAAACTGGCTTATGTTTCATTCGACCTTTTCGTACTTGTTAAATAATTATGGCGATATGATCCTGCGATTATTCCTGATCAAGCCAACAGAAAGGTCCCGTCTGTGGGTGCGAGATGCTGTTCATTTCAGAAATAATAAACAAACAGAAGCAGACGGAGACAGAGCGCCACAGTGACCCATTCATTAGTGAAGCTGACCCTGCAGGGACAAGGAAGCTGTTCATTAAATAGACACTCGAGGCGCAGTCAGAGATCACGCTTCCACCCCGGCAGTGAGGGTATCTCATTCCACATAAATTGTTCAAAGTGTGCCTTCAGGGGACTCGAGTGCTGGGAGACCTGTTGAGGGCTCCACAGGGGCCCCAAATATAACAAAGGATAGATCACTTTATTATTGAGTTAGCTAAAAGTGCCAGCAGAACTTTACTTTTCCTTATAGAAAATGTTTTAGTTCTTTGTTAAATCTCCATCAGTTTCCTGGTTTTACTGCATGTGAAAGTCAACACATACATTGCCATACTATGACTATGAAAATGTTAGTTATTTATTTGCACAAATGAGTAAGAAATAGCAGCTTTTTTCGGGTATGCTATTTGTTTGTTTTTTGTCAAACAAAAAGTGGGATTTGTTTTGCTTTCATTTCTTATATTTTACACATCCCAGGATAAATACTGTTAACCAACATACATTAGTGTGACTATAAGTGCATGGTATTGAATATTAGACTGCAAATTAGTTTCTTTATCCCATTCATTGTCTCAATGAGGCTTTATGGTCATTATGCAAATGCATTAAATTGAGAGCAGGAAGAGCGTAATGAGCTAAATCAGCTTCTGATGACTTTTATCTTAAACAAGCTCCAAAAACCAATCTTTTTGGTTTTCAAAATGATATTCACTTATTACGACATATCATACAGAATGAAGCAAAATAATACAAATGTTGGTGTTGGCAAAATTGAAGTTAAAGAAAGAGAAGTTTTATTTCTGATTGCACCTAAATTAGCTAATTTAAGGATTACAACTATGAGCAAAGATAATCTCTGGATGGCCAACATATTGCATCACAATCCAGCGCATTGTGTCTTGGCCATCTTGTTCTTTAAGAGAAGACAGGGTTTATAATTAGGGATGTCCCGATCACCTTTTTTTGCTCCCGATCCGATTCCGATCATTTGATTTTGACAATCTGCCGATACCGATTTTTCCCGATCCGATCTTTATGCAATGAGAAAAAAAAGGTAACAGATAACGGCTGGTCATCCAACGCGATGAATTCAGCTATCTTGGCTGTTATTTGTTTGGCCTTTTCACTGTTCTGGGGCAGTTTCTCTTTCCTTTTCAAAGTCTCTGAAATTGTTGGTTGTGTCAGTGCCGTTCCCTGAGTGGCCGCTGTGTACTCGTCGTGTTGTTGTTGGTGTTTGTTTCTCAGGCGGCGTGTTAGATTGGTCGTGTTGAACGTAGCTCTGTTCTTTCCACCACGCGGAACCTCCGCCTTGCAAACATTGCATCTGGCTGTTACACTGCCTTCGCTTTCAATTTTATAATACTTCCAAAACTCCTGACATTTTCTCTGTCCCGACTCCCGAGTCATCAGCTGAACGTAGCCTCTCGTTAGCTTACTGCTACTATTAGACACTGCGCCCACTCTGTTTCCAGATTTGAGAGAAATAAGCAACCAGGTCTATGAAAACAAGCCCAAAAGAAGCAACACATACATGATGTTTTGTAATTTTAAACCAAAACTAAGGCCTCAGGATGACTTTAAGACGTGAACATGGTCATTTTTGTTTTGTAACATTAAATAAATTTAAAAAAAAGATATTTTATAAAAAATAAAAAAAATCCTGATCCCCGATTTTTTTCTCCCGATTCCGATTTTTTGAAAATCAGGTGATCGGCTCCGATCCCCGATCACGTGATCGGATCGGGACATCTCTATTTATAATTACCTTTTTATTCGTCAACACATAATACAGCTTTGCTCTTCATTCCTGTACCGTGTTTTCAACCGTCTAACCCCAGTATTTCCTTTGCAACTTGTCCCTGTATTCTCAGTGTTTAACTGTGATGCTCGTCTTTACAATGCTATGAAGCAAGACAGCACAAACACAAGGTCGCTGGCAGAGAGCGTTAAGTGTTTATCTATACATTTCCTCTATACATGCTGCATTTATTTGTCAATATATATGTTTTCTTAACCCTCTCAGTTCTGAAAATATGCTCCCTGTATTGCATTCATTCTCATAAATCTAAATGTTGAATGTCAAGTCTGCAGAGGTCAATCTAAATGCACAGTCAGCTAAAAGAATAAACAGACAGAGAAAGAATAGTTTCGTTGCCAAATGATAAAATACATTTACATATAGATTGAACAAGCCCTGAGCTCTATGCATGCAGGACTAGTAAAACTGCATCATCATCAAAATCAACTCAACTTTCACAATGTCAATCGGTTTGATAGCATTTCCTACCCTTTCAAAATCAAGAGATCATTATGCAAAAACATTTTTTAGGAGACGTAGAGTAGAGTGACTAGATGCTAATTCGGTAAATACTTTCTGGTAAACGGTGATAAATGGAGGTGAAACACAGTTTGTTTGCAGAGTGTCAAATGGTGCTGCCAGACTGCATGCAATATTTAAAAGTTAGCTGTAGGCTACCAGGGCTTCGCATTGAATTGGAGAAGAAAGAGCGAGTTTCAGTGTTAGCCAAACATGGTAACAGCTGCAATGCTCTGAGAAAACAAAACATGTCATGTATGATAAAAGGGAATGAGGCTCAGAGTAAACAAGACTCTTACTGTGCATACTTACAGTAGACCAGGCATCTTGAATATGGTGGAGTTTTGTGATCCTTATATCTCTGTTTCACATTCTGGGCTGGAGGAGGGTTGAGTTGGAGAGCTGTGCCAGAGAATAAACATGGAGGAGATAACATTTGGGATGGATTAGATTTTGGGGTGGAGGTGTTTTTCTTTTGGTACCAGAAAACTAAATTATTCTGTGTTTTAGATTCTAGATTAATCTCAATCTTTATTTATATAGCACATTTAAAACAACCTCAGTTGACCAAAGTGCTGAACAGGCAATAAATACAATATAAAATAACACAATGGGAGTAAAATAATAAAACAATAATTAAAAACATGATCAAAAGCACAATAACTATAGAAACATATAAAAACACAAACAAATGTAAAAATGTAATGTTCAACTAGTATAAAAGCTATTCTTCACTGCATTTTCTTCCTCTGCCTCGCTATCAGCTATAAAGATATCATTCAGTTTGTATTGTGAAAACGAACAAGACCACTTTTTCCTTTATTGGATTAAAACAAATGCCACATAGATGTTATGGACTCAAACAAACACCCAGAGGATTTGTCTGGGGAGTACTAATGTATTTTATCCCTCGTCCTTACATTCAGAGCTTCTAAAACAACTAGTAGCATGATGTGATGTGGAAGTAGATGCCCAGCAAATGTACAGAATAAATCACTCGAAAATTGGACATTGATGGAGTGTGTTGATAAAGTGAGGAATAAACCGAACATTTAGAATATGCTTTGAGGCTTCTGTGATTACGGAGTCATGTTGACTGAAGACGGATCCTGTCAGCTGTATCAGCCGCTGAGATGAGAGAAAAGGCAACAAGCGGCCTCACCAGAGGCAATCACTGCCGGAAATGCGCTCCTGATTTTCCACCAGGCGTGATTTTTAACTCTGCATGGATGTAGGTCAACATAAGCTGCCCTCACACCGACTGCCCATTGCCCACGAAAGATCCAATTTGCCCCGGGGCCACATCCTAATATATCAATTACCTGAGAGGTTAATGTGAGGCGAAAAGTGAAGCTGCCCTATTAGTTTGATTTCTCCTCAGTGATAGTACAAACCTGCTTTAATTAGTGTTTCTCAACGTGCTTGCACCAGCTGAGACTGACTGTGTTTAGTGGATTTTTACACATTTGGTGGAGTTGTGGAAGTTTACAGCTGCAGGACATATGAGATGTATTCACAATAATAGCTCACTCGTGTTCTTCGTAGTGAAGGAAATGACTAATTGAAGTGTTTATAATAACTTCAATCTCTAACGTCACCACCACCGAGCTACAAGTGGACTGTAAGGAAGGTTTTTTATTGAAACTCTCATGTCTGAATCAGAATACCTTTATTCGTCCCACAGAGGGGACATTTGCATTTGTTACAGCAAGAAAAGAGCAAAAGACAGCTTCATTTTAACCACGAAACATGCATACAAAAATTACACAATTTACAAAATACACATCCTGTACATAATGCATGTAGGTGCTTGTTATCAAGAGCTTTTTTTAGGGAGCTACAGTAAAAGCTTCGCAAATTCTGAGTGGATTGCAGTAGTAAGAATAGTTTGTATTTTATGTCATAGTTCAAATATGAATTGCCCAAAAACATGTTTAAAAAAAAGGAAAACATCGAAATAAAACATTTACTTTGAGACGAGGAAACAGGAAGTGCAAAAACGTTGACTCATTCGTCAGGTTTTAGGACTTATTCCTGCAAAGCTCAGACTTCCTCTTCATTACCCCCGTCTTGTTCTAGGACTTTCTGCTGGATTTCTACGGCAATACTAAGAGAGGGTACAGGGAGCCATTGCAGAGACTTGTTTACAGACACATTGATGTTTGCGGCAATTCCTGCTGGTTGCCAATTGAGTTTGATAAATGCCACAGATTACTCCCAGCCGCTGATATGCTTTCAGACACTTTCCTTTGATCACTACTAATCTCCACTGTCGCACATTGTATTTGCATTGCACAATTACCCCTCCCCTGTAGCACCCAGACTGTTTCTGTTTCTACTATGCACCAAGAATTGACCCATGGTGACACATATTTTTTTATTGAATATGATGTATTAGTTGCACTCATACATGATGTGCTGCGCGAGGCCAACGGCTTTTCAACATATTTTCCATCAAGGACTGCATTAGGGAGTTGTTTGTGAATGTACTGTGTCATCCTTGAACATGCATTATATGCGTTTCCTCATTTGACAAGCTAGAGTAAAGTGTCTCAGTCTCTCTTTAGCATTCGGAAGGTTTGAAGTGTTCGACTAATTCATGCTTGCATAATGTGGTTTTCGGTTTTAAAGCCACACAAGAGTTTTGGAGTTGTTTGTAAATTCAGGACTTCAAATCAATTCACAGCATGTAGAATTATGTCTTTAAATCTTTTATTTCTACGAATCCATAAGCAACAAGTAAACCTGATGCAATCTCTCAATCCCTTTACATTCGGGAGCTTTATTAGTACAAATTATTTTATAATTCCCCTATTTCTGAGCTGTTTTTGAAATTATGTTGTTTATATGATTAGCATTTTTCCACATTTCATATTGTAATTTGATCCTCTTCATGTGCTTCACAGGTCCATGGGGCCGATGCATGGGCAGCGACTGTGGCCCCGGCGGCAGCCAGAGCCGGGCGGTGTGGTGCGCCCATGTGGACGGCTGGACCACGCTCCACACCAACTGTGACCAGGTCCAGCGCCCGTCCAACCAGAGGAACTGTTTCCGTGTGTGTGACTGGCACAAGGACCTTTATGACTGGCAACTGGGTGCCTGGAATGTGTGTGTGCCAGTTTCAGCAAGGACCTTATGGGCCTTGCGGCCGTTCACATGTAGTGGAGCCGAAGAGGGCATTCAGACCCGGGAGGTGGGCTGCATTCTCAAATCAGAGGAGTCTCCAGCAGAGGATTCCATCTGTGAATACTTTGAGCCCAAACCTCGCCTGGAGCAGGCCTGTTTAATCCCTTGCCCTCAGGATTGTGTGGCTTCTGAGTACTCGCCATGGACGCCCTGCTCCAAAACATGTGGAACAGGCCTCAAGACCAGGGTCCGCAGTGTCCTGGTCCCTCCACTTTTTGGAGGCTCACTTTGTCCCAACCTTACTGAGTTTAAGTCTTGTAAACCAGGGCCTTGCACAGGTCCAGAGGGCATGTACAGTCTCAGGATTGGACCCTGGAACCCCTGTGTCCTCCCTGTGACTCGGACAGAACGCCAGGTTAAGCGCAGGAAAGGTAAAGACCAGGGGGTCAGGGAGAGAGCTGGAGTCAAAGATCCAGAGACCAGAGAGCTCATCCAGAAGAAACGAACCAGGAACCGCCTTAACCGGCAAGAGAGTCCGTTCTGGGACATCCAGGTGGGCTACCAGACTCGGGACGTGACCTGCATTCATCGGAACGGGAGCATCGGTGCACGCAAGTAAGTGGCATACATAAAATATAAAACAAAGAATCTCCATATAAAACAAAATATCTGTACACTGTAATAAAATATAGTTAAAAAGCAATAAAATAGAGCAGTAATTTACAGCGAAATAGATTTCAATTATAGAATATAAACTATGAAATGGTGAGAGGTTTTGGTCCTGATGGAACACAGCCTCCTGCCAGAGGGGAGGGGGGTGAACAGTTTGTATCCAGGGTGGGAGGGGTCGGCCACTATCTTCCCTGCCCGCCTCAGGGTTCTGGAGGCGTTCAGGTCGTGGAGGGATGGCAGATTGCAGCCGATCACCTTCTCTGCAGAGAAGCAAACTGCTCCTCATAATTCTTGAACCTTTGACGTTTAGTTGTACTGATCCCAGAGTCAGTGCCTTTCTAACATGCCACATTTATCCTTCTGAATGTTTATTTTTTATTTGTATCCCTGTCAGGAAGTGACACATAGCGGCGGATGTTTATCGGCCGTGTTTGTCACTGCTGTGCTGTCACTGCAATGGAGCACAATTTACCACAGTGTAGTATATATGTCAACTTCAGATGATGAAAGTGACAAAGCAATTATTTTTGTCATTTTTGAAAGAACTTTTTTAGGATTTCTTTGGATTGTTGTCCTCTGATTTAGACAGGATGTGTAATGATATGTTATCAGGAAAGTGAACAAATCAATTGTCACTAAAACTGTCCCTTTTTTCCCTTGAGGCTCAGCCATAAAGTCAGATTGCTACAGAAAATATTCTCAAATGAATAATGATGGGAATTTTTTCTTTTTTTTACGTTTTAAGGTTAAGGTCTCAACATTAAGAGAAGATCAGTTAACCTTTTTCCCAAAATAAAAACAGGTCATTGAATGTTGTCTTCAGTGGGCACTCTTATCCCAAATACATGCTGTAACTATATAAGTGCACATTTATAGTGTGAGTAAACCCATGTGGGATCCAACCGATCTAACCTGTGGCCATGACCTATAATTGCTGGGAGCTACAAAGTCAAACTCTGAAAATAAGATACATCAAAAGGCTCCCACTCATTTCTCAGCAGAGGTCGTATGAACAACACACATTTAACTTCCTACACATTAATCTGCCAGCAGCTTCAGAGAACACTATCAACATCAAACACTTACAACACCATACAGAATAATTGTATTTTCACTGACTAATTATTGTTATCACTCATTACGTCATATGCCTTTTCAGGATTGGATAGTTATCATATATCAAAAAAGCCAAGAGTTTGCAATCTGGTCATCAAAAAAAACATTCAACACAGAAGAGTTTTACAAGGATCTATCTACCCAATACATCAATAACAATCAACTATAATTGCAATAGCAAGTATGGAAGGAGGCATGTACAGTTTCCATCTGCTTCCTGTTGTAACTGCAGCCAAAGTGACACTTCATTTATACTTAAATTAGTTTGTTTTCCACCTGTTCAATGAAAGCGAACTGGACGAAAGCAGTTCAGCAATTTCAACACAAGCTGTCATGCCTGAAGACACATTAAAATGTTTTAGCCTAAATCCAATTGTAAGAGCCTGTGAAGACTTTCTGAATCAACCCATGCACAGAAATCCTGGCTAATTGGCTAAATAGCTCAATTGTAATTGTTCTACCTAAAAAGCGAAATCATGCATCTTCAGCTGTTTTTGGCTATTACCAAACAGCTTTACCTGCAGTACCACTACTCTCTGTACTGAAGTTGGACAATGCTATAGGGTCTATTGTCTGATTTGACTATTTAAAAACACCCAAACAGGGAATTGTGGACTTTTGGTTTTCAGAAGTAGTTTATTTGGCTTTCCAAAGGGCCCTACAGATGTATGTCTTAAATATCTTACAACAAATTAAGGAATGATTTCCCGAATGTCTAATCTTCCAGTTTTAATACAGTTTTGTGTTTACAACATGTTTGCAGCAATAGGCTCCATAGGGCCGTAGCTGCTGCCCACTTGTTTAGACAGTTGTTAGGCTGAAGTGGTTGATGACTACAAACGTTTTGTGTTAATCACTAAATGTTGGTTCTTGTTACAACATGCATGCTGTTATTCGTTATAAAAACTTTGATTCCTTTATAACATGGCTGCAAGTAATCAGCCATTCTGCTAGAGCTCCATTCTGTATCATCTATTTTTCTCTTCCTCGACCGACGGTGAATTAAAAAGTCATAGTTCTTTGCTCGGAACTTGGTGATGGGCTTTTATGATCTCAAGGAAAGAATCAATGACATGTCAGTAAAGCAAGACATATCTGTCGCATGCCCCTGTACTCCAAGATTTGATCAATTATGTACTAAATCTATTCATTAATGCTTTGTTGGCGCAGTGCTCTCAGTAGTGACTGGGATCAAATATTTCAAAGGAACCGTGAAAACAACTCACATGCCCTTAGGAGTATAAATATTAATCCTTGACTTGTTTATTTCTTGTCCTGAAATATTTATAGTTGTTTTTGCCACTTTCAGAACAAGTGGAACAAACTTCCCAGTGAAGCCGTAACCCAGTCGTATCCTAGCCAGAATCTCTCTGAACATCTTGCTCACTTCATTTCTAATTTTGTTTGATGAACATCTGTCATTGGGTCCTTGCTTTTTCAATAATCCTCGACTTGTCCTCGACGTGTTTCGAAACAGGCGACCTCCTCGTAACAAAGTCTCCTGCTTGTGTCCTATTTGTGAAGCTTGCATTTTGACCTTTTTAAGTTCTTGCTGTGCAAATATTGGGGGGGGGGGGGGGGGGGGGGGCGGGTGTGTGTATCACATTACATAATGGCAGCTAATGCTGCAGGACTCACATGCTGCTGTAATTTAACTTGTCATCATTTTTGGCTCTTTCATAAGTGTTTTTGCTAAATGCTCTAAAGTCAAATAAATAATAAAATAATAAAAGGGCCTCTTTAATCACTTGACCAACAACTAATCATGTTTTTAGACAATTTCATGGGCAGTAGCTCACTTTTTGATGAATGCAGTGTAAGTAATGAGGGTACTCGACAAGTGTTGAAATAAGGACATGATCTGAATGCTCTATTTTGTCTGAAAGCTCTGAGAGTCCGTTGTTGCCAGTTACTGTGTAACACCATACATAAAGTGAACTTTTTCAGACATAGTCTTAGTTATTTAAATAGAGAATGATTGTGTCCTCATTCTGTCTGAATGACTGAGATGAAGAAATAATGACTTATTTTTGCTACTTTGAAATCTCCACAAAGATGCTAGGGCATTCACTCAACAAACGGATCAAAGGATCCAGTGACAGCAGAAATGGGTCATCGACTGCATTCGGGGCTTTTTAAAACACAAGGAGTTCCATCTGAGACAGGAAATCGAGCCATCACCCTCAGTGCATCACATTAACTGTTCAAAATTGTGGTTGTTTTCCTCCGATGCAAAATGAGCCAGAATACCAAGTGAGTTTGGCAGAAAAAACTAAACTACGGTGTTCTGACAGTGTCACTTCAGTACCACTTCAAAGACTGCAGAGGTGCTTTAATCCGCAAAGACACAGGAGTTAAAAGAAGAAGAAGAAAAAAACATGCTCAGCTCATACATTTCCTCATTTATACAAAATCTGAGTTGCTGGAGGTGAAGTGTGGTGGCAGCGTCTAAATGAGAGGTTTCTAAATGAAGCAGAGCTGTAATTAGCACTAATAGCTCGTCAGCTGCAGCGCCTCGAGGGGAAAGACATCCAGACTGAGGAGCAGAAAGCAGTCGGCTTTAGTTAGAACACATTTCTAATGATTCGGTAGGGACCTAAAGTAAGAGCGGGTTATTCATTACATCTAAATGCCATTTAGCTGATCAAAAGATGTGTGTGAGCGATTGACCACATGGTTGTTTTGGTTGTCTTAAATCACACTGCCACGCTACTCTGGTTTTACCCCTAATGTGAAACTGGTTATGCAGTGTGTATGCTAATTAGAGAAGCTAATGACACAATGTGGCACCAGTCAAGGGCAGAGGGTTTAAAGGCACTATGCACACAGATATAGTTTCATATGTGTTGCTCTGACATATTCAAAGACCATTACATCCATATCTTTAAGGCATATTGGTACATTGATATTAAAATGACATTGAGACGTAATGTGAATTAATGTCACTGTAATGAGGCATGAGTTCACTTCATATCTCTGTGTACAAAAATAATAACTATGATCAGTTTAAGTGTAAGAATAACAAATAGATCAAAACATCTACCTCTGGAGAGTTGTAAGGCGTATTTACTTACCATTTGTACTTGATTATTCATTTTTGATTTGTCACTTGCAGTGCAGTTCAGTCTATAAAGTCGTTTATCAAGAAAAACAAGTTTCAGCCTTTTGGATATTCAAATGTGCTGCTTGTCTTTTGTTCCAGCAAAACAACAGGGCTTGTGTTGGGCATGGTAGTTGGCTGTACACACTACATAATTATAACTTTATCAGTATAACTAAAATAGTTCAACATGTTGGAAAATATGTTTGCATACTCCACTACTTGTCACAGCATGGCTACACTGAGCCTATTGCCCTTTTTTGTTTTTTCATCAGAAAAGTTTGTGGATTGTACTTTTTCTGGTACCACCTCAGTTCAGACTTCCCGCGAAATAAAGCAACACCAGAGGGGAAGTTAAAGCACTGTGGCCAGCTAACGGTTAGAGAACACCAGACATCCTGCACAAAATGAAACTACCATCAATAGCCATTGCAATATTTGGTTCACTCCAAACTGATTTTTTTTAAAGCAGCAAAACTACACCGTGCACTTGAGAAACTGCACACGGTAATCTGTTTGGTTGCCAATGAAAGGATTATGCGAGTAAGGGAGTTTAAGATGATGTCACAACAGTTTTGCTTTATCAGCTACAGTAAGAACCTCGCCTACACTGAGGGGGGAATATCTGGCGTGGAAAACAAAATAAAGAAAATGCGTTGTTACTGTGGGGGAAACTTCTGAAGCGATTGGAAACAGGACTCAGAGAGACAAGAGGAGAGCTGGAGCTTTGATGGCAAACACTGGTGGTTTATTTGGAGTTTCGGCCGGAGAATTGACAAGACAGGTGGTGTGTGTCACGAGTTGATACAGCGGTTGCCAAACCAATTCTGAAGAACTCTTCTGCAGCTCGATGATTTAACTAGTTCGCAGTGTAATAATCAACATTCTTTATCAGTGAGACTAAACAATTATGGACCCTGAATCTAACTAGAGCCAATAGTGTGTGAGTGTGTATATGTTGTTTGTTTAAAGGTCCCCTATTATACTGTTTTTCATCAATATATTATAGGTCTGCAGATATATACAAAACATGGCTCTGAAGTGTTTGGCTCCAAATACCAAACAGATCATTGCAGCATCCCATAATCCCCTCTGTTTCAGGCCTGTTTCCAAAGTGCTGATTCTCTGTGTGTTACTTTAGATGAAAATAAGGAGCCCCTCCCCACGCCCCTCTGAGAGAGATTTGGTTAAAAAGAACACAATGGTGCTCTAGGAGGAGATTCAGGTGATGGTGTGTGTGTGTGGGGGGGGGGTTACCAGTTGGTTGGTTATGGGCTAAAAATTGTTATGACATCATAAAGTGGCCAAAGTCTGATCATCTCATTTTCAGACAGGTTTTATATGAATGGATCAGTACAAAAAGAGAGCGAATCTTTTTTCCTGAAACTTTCAGAATCTCTTTCCACAGAGGGGACACATGTTAATGTATAAAAGACAGGAACAAGTGGATTTAGCATAATAGGTCCCCCTTTAAATCTGTTTGAAAAACCACTTTGTAGAAACGTCAAGTCATGGACTCAGGGTGTTATGGGCCTGACTATTTCTTGGCCAGGGACAGTGAATCTATGAGTCTACATTATATATGTATGTGGTGCTCTCCTCTTGTTCAAACTTCAGGAACCTAGTGTACCTCTGAATACAATCTTTCTTAACTTAACCTTACCTTCCCTCCCTCCTGTTCCCCTCCTCTTCATCCTTTTCCAGCCTGTGCACGATGAGAGACCTGCCGCTGACTGTCCAGTCCTGCGTCCTTCCCAAAGACTGCCAGCTGACCGACTGGATCCAGTGGGGCCCCTGCTCTAAAACCTGCTTGGACCCCGAGTCTCCCATAGGCAATCGCACTCGGAGCAGACAGGTGGTCCAGTTCCCTGTGGGCGAGGGGGCGGAGTGCACACCTCTGGAGGAGTTGGAGTCATGTGAACCTCAGGGTGAAAGCGTGCCGCCTTGCGCAACGTAAGTTCCTACTGATTACACGGGGGCGGGGAGCTCAGTAGGGAGTCAGCACAGGCCTTTTGAATTTGAGTGAAACTGTAGATGTGTTTTTCATAGCGAGCACTCGACAGGCGCTCGTGTTTCATGGGGATACAATTGCATGTTGGGTTGTGATAACACCCTTCTCTTTGGTTATAGAATTGTTAAAAACCCTGTTACAGTGCACCACACTCTGCAGGGATTATCTCTGTATGCCTATAAAGCTGATGCAAAAACATACAACAGAGTGAATGTCTGGTATTGAACCTGGCTCATGCTGCACACGCTTCCTGTTGGTTGTGCTTTATCTCATATCACCAAGATCATTTGTTCTCCTGGGTGTGTGTGTGTGTGTGTGTGTGTGTGTGTGTGTGTGTGTGTGTGTGTGTGTGTGTGTGTGTGTGTGTGTGTGTGTGTGTGTGTGTGTGTGTGTGTGTGTGTGTGTGTGTGTGTGTGTGTGTGTGTGTGTGTGTGTGTGTGTGTGTGTGTGTGTGTGTGTGTGCATGCGAGCGTAGTAGGCAGCATATGGAGATAGATTGGAATAAGTGCTTGGGCTGGTGCCAGACAGAAAGTAGAGACTAATGGAGGGAGACTGCAAGGATATTTTAGTCCCACAAACTCTCTCCCTGCACACACACACGAACATACACACACATACTTAAACTATAGGTCCCCAGATGGCCTTTATTCCCTCAGTTTCACCCTATATCATCCTAACACAGCTACTGTTAAAACATTTTCTCATACTCTAATCCCGAGAGTGTTTGATTTTCTATGGTAGGCATTTATTTCTCTGTTTAGAAATAGCCTTTTCAGACCCACATGATTCCAAGTTTCAGTTTGTATGTTGTCCCCTGACACTCATTACCGATAGTGAATTGTGAAAATTAAACAAATATCCATAATGATATTCAAAAATCAAAGTCCCTTTTTTCTCTGAAAAACAATTGTTCTTCTGTCGGGTGAAACTGACTTTTGAAGTTTGTGAAAGGACTTTCACACTTTCAAACTGTGCATACTCTACTTGTTATGTTGTTTATTTCATCTTAGCAACATTAGAAATGCATCATACATGTTGCACAAGGAGCAAAAGCAGGCTTAAAAATGTATTGAAATAGAAAAAAGAAAAGAAAATGCATCCAACTATGCACATGAAACAGGCATGTTGTATCTGCAGAGTATTTAGTGAAGGATAATGTTGTTTCTCTTTCAGCCTGTTTTAAAAAGGAACATTGTGTTGCATTTTGATTTGGGTTTGGTAGACAGTTCCATAGGTTTGCTCCTTATATAGAGAAGACTGATTGTATGAAAGAGGTTTTAGTTCATGCAATGTGACGGCGTATATTGAAGCCTGTGATTTGACTGTACTGTCGTGCTGGTGTCTTGTACCAAAGTCATCATTAAGCAGGGAATGAGTAAGACCATTTTAAATGAAGCTTTTACTGAAACGTGCAATTTATCATGTTTTCAGAATAAGTTATTGGTAGTAAATGGTTGTTACTATGCAACACATCCTGAGGTGCTTAAGTTAGATCTGCAAAATGAACTTCTGTACTTTGACACTTTGCGACACCCACACACAACATCCATACATGCTCTTTCCTCTGTAGCTACACCTGGAGGAGCACCGAGTGGAGCGACTGCCGGGTTGACTCGTTGCTAAGCCAACAGGACCGGAGACGTGGCAACCTGACAGGTCTCTGTGGGGGAGGCTTACAAACCAGAGAAGTTTACTGCGTCCAGGCCAACGCTGAGCTTCTCAAATACCTCAACAACCTCAAAGAAAAGGAGAAAGGTAAGAAATCATTGTTCTGTAACATTAATGCATCTCATTAAAAAAAGTCCACTTTTAGTGCTGGGATGTAAATATTTAGCTACAAGGCCCATGTCATTATTAATGCTCATCCTAAATACTTTTCTCTAGATACTTTTTCACTGACATTTTTTGAGAGGTATTGCCAGTCTGAATCATTTGTGCAGTCTGTGTTTATTTGCCAAAAATGATCAGTGTACCAGCTGTACTGACATTAGCTGCAGTAAGCTAGCAACCTACTGTATGTCAAAACGTGCTGCTCTTCGCTTTAAAATGCTGCTCAGTTTTTCCAGGTATTTTTATTTTTGTCTCTTGTTTTTGTGCTCTCTCCCCGTCCTCTGTTATGTTTGTATCCTCAGGTTGTTCATAAATTCCTTTTTGTAAATTGCACATTTTTGTTTTATTAATCTCACGAGGCTGTGTAGCATCTTCCTTCAATACTGTAACCAAAGTCAACAACACTTTGCATATGTCAAATCTTACCCCCACACACAGCATAGCTTGAAAAAAATTAGCTGAACTCTCAAGTGTAACTCAAATACATTTGATCAAGCGCAGTTACATGACAACTTACATCCGTCAAGCCCCCACACTGTGTGTGAGAACTTCAGTCTCTCTGTGGATTTGTAGCAGATAATTGCAGATCAAATGCTTGCAACAGAGGTAAGCCGTCATGTTGACTGATGTCCAAATATACAATGACATACAATATTCCCTTTGTATTAATAGTCAATGTGTGCTTTGTTTATCTTCTCTCCTTTTCATGCTGTTGCTATGCTGTCAGGTGCAAGTTTTCTGTTAACATTTAAAAAGCCTTCTACTCACTTCCTTACCCGCCATTTTACTTAAAGCAGATGTCATTTAAAACAAGGATTTTGATGCCTGTAAGTCCAGCTCTGACCTCACTGGTCAAAGGCCTCCATTTTTGACACTTGTCAAGCCAGCTTAGAGTCAAAGCTGCCCTCTTAAGGAGGGTGTTAAAGACATTAGATGAGGCTTATGCAGACCAACAGTTTAGATCGCGTGAGAGAGGGTGACAAAGTCTAACCTTTCTTCTGAATGTGGAGAGATGCTCCTCACGCAAACAGCTTGAAGATCAGTCTGTCCAATATGGTGGGGTTTAGTGCAGGTGGTGAATGTATGGAGATTAAACTTTTCCGAAACAACATTTTAAACAGGGAAGCACAGGTAAGGAAATTAAAGATGGAGTTATATAATAAAATCATGTTCAATTATTATTAAAGCAATAACTTCATTGTCAATAATCTCTTTTTTGAACAGGGGAATAAAGGCTTCTGTCAATTTCAGCTGACATATGCTGTGCTAGGTTTTGCTAAGTAAAGTTATCTTCAATTTGTCATGTTGAGTGAAAAGATGTATACATTAAAGAGTAATACCCTAATCAAAGAATGATGAGAACTCAGGAAGGACCATTCGCAGAAACTTGATAACAGATGCAACTGGAAAGCATAATACACTGCCTTCTTTTTTAATCTTAATGTTGAATTCATTCTTGATGGATGATTTTTGAAGTGAAAGCTGGCAGTAAAACATGGTTTCTCAGAGTTTAGATTGATCTGCAGTCCTCTGTGTATCAGCCCTAATGAAAGAATAATGAGTCTCCAAGATTAAATCCATCGACAGACAATGTCCGGACAACGCAGACTTTACAATAGAAGAATTAATATTTCATGTGAACTTTGTGATATCGTATGCCCTCCTCCCTAAGTGCTGTAGTGGCTACAGGACAAGTGAAAGCACACAGTTATTGTACCTGCGTTGAAACTGGAGCGCCAGTTTTGATGATAAAGCACCTATAACCTCTATTAAAATACAGTTAAAGATTCATCTATACAAACAGGTTGAGATTAGTATCAGGGCTAGATGTGCGTGACGTGTGTTTGTGCAAACAGTCACACACACATACAATCTGCACAAACTTCTTATCTTCTTGGCGCAGGATTTCTTTCCCCTCTGTTGGGGGGTAATCTCCCAGCATACTACTGAGACCAAGAGGCAGGCAGTGCTCAGTGGAGTCTGCTGCAACCAACGCTCTTCCTCCCATCTCTCATGAATAAAAATCACCATGTAGGCAAAGATCTGGCATCGGTTTACCACCTGCTTATCCTTAAACGTAATCTTTACAGGAGGTTGCTCTTATCTAACCTTAGATCAGTACTGCAGCCTAAGAAATGTCATCTGGCACTTCCTCAGCTAAGGCTCAATAAGGTTTGTTTTATTTCTGCTCAGCTGCTGGAGTATATGGATTCCTTTACTACTTGACTCAACCCTATGAGAGTTGACATTTCGGTCACCTTTCACAGTATTTGACAAGAAGATTGAGTTAAAAGCCCTTTAAAGGTGAATTAACACCGAGTGTAGCAAGGGAGATGTATTCAAATATGTAAGTTCATACTGTCATTGCAGGTTAGAAACATTTCTTTGAAACTCACACCGCACCAAAATTACAGTTTGATGCTTAAATTATGAAAGGAAAAGTTCACAACTTTAGAAAATACCCTAACTGTATTCATTTTCCTTCTGGGAGAAAAATGTATGTAAACGTATGCGTGTTTACTGAAGAGTTGGGGTTAGGACATGGTTAGCCTATGTTAGCATTAAGAGCTAGCTTGGCTCTGTCAGAAGTTTTAAATATATCCTCCAACATCTTTGACATCTCTGTCATATTTACACAATGTTTGCTGTTTGTTAAATGTGTACACAATAAATCTAAAAACTGTTTCTAACTTACAGACAAGCCTTAAGGGATGCTACACACAGTCACTATCTCTGTCTGTGGCTTGACTGATGTTTAACCATTTCTTTTTTTGTTTTACCTTACAGCCGTTGGTGTATTTTTATCTGAGAAAAGCTAGCTGTTTCCCCTGCAGCAAAGCCAAGCCAAAGACATCCTTACTCTTAACAGATAGACATGAGAGTGACATACATGTTTTTATAAATCTCAATCTTAGAAAGACTGCAAATAAGCACAACATGTTGGACTTAAAAAGGCCTGGAAAAAGCCTAACATTATTCAGTCTCAAGTTAACATGTCTGGAATCAGATGAATGTTTCTCCTTTAACACACAAATGTATCCTGATAAGATAGCATGGTCAGTAAAGACATGGCATTTGACCTAACACCATGAGTCCAAATGTGTCATATCAATATAAACTAACCATCAAGGAATCATCAACAGACCAAATATATAAAAATATTGATTTAATTATAAACAAGCCCAGGATATGAGGCCCTGCTGTCCTCCTGCTGCTGTAGCATTAGTTTCTTCTGTGCTGTTTCCCCCTCACTGTGTTTGTTTGACAGTGCCTTGGTCTCCCTGGTGTGTGCGTAGCTAATAGTGCTATCTCCCCTGTAATTACAGCGGGTCAGACCCAAAGACAGCAGAAGCCTAGTGTCCCCCCTCTCCTCTCCGTCACCTTCCAGATCACAGGTAGGTGTTTTTAGTCACGCTGATGACCAAACTGCAGCCTCTCTCTCTCTGCTTTATGCCTCCCAGGTCTCTCTTTTTTCCTTTTCCTTTACTCCCTTCTCATTGTCAGTCTCTCTTCATTATATACCCTTCCTTATTCTTTCATATCTATCCTTGATTCCTCTCCTATCCACATTCCTTGTCTCCTCTCTTCTTTCTTAGTCATGGTTTCTTCTGCTTATTCCCTCTCCAGTTCTACCTTCTCCTTACTCTTCTCTCGTCTTTGTTTCTTCTTCTCTCTCTTAGCCTTATTCTTCACTTTGCTCTTTAACATATAATGGATCAAGGAAAAAAAGAAAGACATGTGGTTCTGACGATTCATATATTGATTTAAACACTTTTGACGGTTTGTCCCCCCCGCTGTGAGGCTTAAGATTTCTGATGACTTCAACTGTACTCAACATTTCAACAAAGTTAGAAAACCCCGACTGCTACTCTTTATCTAGACAGCTCAGTATTATTGCCAAATCCAACAAAAGGACAAGTAGTATTACAACAAAGTTCTGTATTCTCACTTCAAAATCCGGGCAGGAGAGTTGAAGCTTTGTTCCCCCACAAACAGAATATGGATGGTGAGACGTTTTCCACCGCTGCAGACAGTAAGCCACACTGGCATGAGGGATTGTTTTTTCCTCCGAAAAAATGTAACTCAGTGGAGAGCTCAGTGTAAAATACTAATAGAAGAGCAGGATAGAGAACTTTTTTTCCTCCACTCTGTTGGTCCTCAATGTTGTATTCTCAAATGGATTGATGTTAAAAGATTGAAGTCAGTGTAGTTCTCGAATAAGATGTGGATTAACAGTGGCTCAGCAAACTCAGTATTTGACTTTCAGTGTATTTTTAAGAGGAATTAGCCATTTTGCATTTCAAAAGCCTTACTTGCCTCCTTCCCTTGCACAGTTCTGAGGGAATTATGATTCAGCTCTCTCGACTATGTGAGGCTTTAAGCTCTTGGATGTCTTGTACGAGCAGTTGGAATACAGGAAATGAAGTGCCTCAGGTTGAACATGTAAAGAGATTTTTTTTTGTGAATCACTTAATATCCGCCATAAACCGAATGTATCACTCACTACTTGAAACGTAGAGATCAATTCATCCTTATAATTTGCCAAGTCTTTTATATGTAGATTTATTTTTATAATTTTCATTCCACCACTGATGTCTTAATTTTGAGCATCAGAACTTTGAAATATCTCAAACAGATGGTGCCAAGTCAGTGTTTAGCTTTGCTGCAGTGCTCTCACTAACAGGTGTTAATGGAGTTTACAACATGAGATAAAATCACCACTACACTCACTTTAGAGTAGCTCATGTTTTAGGATTTTTATTACATTTTGACATCAAAGTTTGTTTAGCTGATACTTTTATATAAAGTGACTTTCACACTCTTCAATACCAATACAACATGCCCAGGAGCAATCTGGGATAACTATCTCGCCCAAGGACACTTCAAACTGTTGACTGCAGGGGCCGCTGATAAACCCTATTTAGCCCCTGCGCTAAAAACGCACCTATGATCTATATCCCATTATATTTTGTAAAGATTGGACAAAGAATGTCTCGTGTTTTTTTTTTGTTATTGCAGTTTTATACGAGGTATTCACATTTTAGAATGAAGTCTGATTCCCAGCTGCACATGTCTGCCTGTGTGTGCAGCTGAAAAAGGAAAGGTTTAAACAGAGGGTGGAGCTCCAGGCAGGGGGTTCAACCTGTCAGCTGAGTGAGAAGGACTCACTCTTATCACCAATGACGACCTGCAAGCATTGAGACAGAGTCCTGTCGGGCTGCTGTTTTTAGGAAGACATTTAGACAAAAACAAAGCAGCACATGCAGTAGTTGGCTTAGAACAGTCTCAGCTCAGGGGGTAGCTTGATCATGTCTAAAGGTAAACAATCAACCTACCGTTACCTCTATCACTTAATGTTGGATGTTGTATCTCATGTCTTTAATTTGTATTGTACATGTAATGTTGTGGTGTTGCTGGCATTTTGTGCGATTTACTTTTACATTCTAAATGCTATTAGAAACATAGATGCACAGCTCTTGAAGATACAGAAGCAGTAGTTTGAAATGAAATAGACACCACCATGCATATTTTATGCGCATGCATAAATGCATAAACTCTGTATCTTCAGAACTCCACACATCAAATGTAATCATCTTGGCACGATTCATCAGATATTTAGAAATGTGTTTTGCGCAGTTGTCACAGAGCTGCGCCTTGCATTGCGATAGCATCTCTCCATTTTATTTCCACAAAGTTCCTCAGTGGGAGTTTAGACACAGCTTACCAGTTGCATCATAGAAAGGGGCTTTGTAAATCTTGGCACGACTAGGGACAGAAGGTGCCAAATGACACCTCCTGGAATCAATATGAGCCAAGACTTTGTCACTGCTCTCGTGCAACTTTAGTGTTGTATTGTTGCATCCTCTCCTGTCTCAAGTGAGGTCTGTGGGCAAGGCTCCAGTCCACAATGTTTTATGTTACTTCCAAGGTGCTGCATGAGATAATAATTGCAAATATATCATTGTGACATGCTTACAGTCTGGCAATAAACAATAAAGGTATAATAGTGTTTACTTCACAAACATATTGCGTTTTCCCCCACTGTGGTTTTGCTCTCTGTGGGGACTCTAAGGCTTGGAATAACATTACATAAGCATTTGTATGTCCCTTGTTCCTTTTGATTATTATGCTGGTAAGACTTCCTCACATAAAGACAAACCAGAATAGCATCAAAGTAAAGCAGGTTCATTTTTATCAGCTGCTTATTTTCTTTTCCTTTTTGATCATCAACAAAGCCTCCCTCCCAGTGGAAAACAAGCTGTGCGAGGGTCCGATTCCCAACAGGTCCCAGCTTTGCCAAATCCCCTGTCCAATCGACTGTGAGGTTTCCCCTTGGGGGGCCTGGGGGCCGTGCACCTTTGAAAACTGTGATGATCAGGCTGGAAAGAAAGGTAAGACGACACAGTCCCAACTGGTTATAATTATGATTTATTTTGAACCTTGCTATCTCAAGCCTCTTTCAATGTTTGAAGCTTTTTCTGATTTGCCCACCTACCTTGCCTTCCCCTGTGTATTAGTTTTCCTTGTTTTGGTTCTTTTGAAGATAACAATGTTATAAATAAGCATCATATTTAATTCCCTTATCAATCTGGCTGACTACTTAACTCTGTGATAAACAACAATGGCCTCCTATTTTAATTTCTGCTTTTGTTTCTATTTAGTATACCAGCGTATTGGATTTTAGATGTAATATACTATTTATCATAATTATTTTCATTTCCTTTACCGAGACTCTCTCTCTCTCATGCATTCACTTGAAAAGATAAGGTTGTAAAATAGTCAATGCTTTGTTTTTACAGTGTAGTAAATTCTGCCTAAGATCCACTAAACATTTTATATAAGCTCATTTTGTTTAAGAGATCGGTAAAACATTGTTGTTGATTCTGATTGCATTCATGAGGATGGAATCTTCCTTATTATTCTTTTTATTACAGAACACGTTCAGTATAAACTATACCTTTTAATGGCTACATTTAGCAGTTGTTCAACCAGATGATTCACAGTTTGGATAAAGTAAAATGTTCCTGCAATATTACATACTCATCGAATAAAATGTGTGTGAAAGAGCAAGGGAGTGACCAACGTTGTGTTCACTGAAGCCTATACAAAATGTCACTGTGTGATATTCTGCCTGACATGGTTCATCGTTAAACAGAATATAAATGTTCTTATGTGAAATTACTGGAAGTAAAAACAAACTCACTCCATAGTAAATGAGATGCTACGATTTCTGGCAGCATTGAGCTCTGTCCATGAGGGGAAAACAGGTTTTCCTCATCTTCAAATTAGCATTAATGAGCTGTCTCAACAAGTCAGCCATCAAACCAAATCAAGTATAGATCACCAACATCTACAGTGCATCCGGAAAGTATTCATACCCCTTAACCTTTTTCACATTTTGTTATGTTACAGCCTTATTTCAAAATGGATTCAATTCATTTTGTTTCTCAATATTCCACACATAATGACAAAGTGAAAACGTTTTTAGAATTTTTTGCAAATGTGTTAAAAATAATCAAATGAAATATCACATGTACATAAGTATTCACACCCTTTGCTATGACACTGAAAATTGAGCTCAAGTGCATCCAGTTTCCACTGATCATCCTTGAAATGTTTCTATAACTTGATTGGAGTCCACCTGTGGTAAATTAAATAGATTTGACATGACTTGGAAAGGAACACACCTGTCTATATGAGGTCCCACCGTTGTCAGTGCACATCAGAGCACAAATCAAGTCATGAGGTCCAAGGAATTGACTGTAGACCTCAGAGACAGGATTGTATCAAGGCACAGATCTGGGGAAGGGGACATACAATTGTCTGCAGCATTGAACGTCCCAACGAGCACAGTGGACTCCATCATTTGCAAATGGAAGATGCTTGAAACCACCAGGGCTCTTCCTAGAGTTTGCTGCCCAAACTAAACTGAGCATCGGGGGAGAAGGACCTTAGTCAGAGAGGTGACCAAGAACCCGATGGTCACTCTGACAGAGCTCCAGTAGAGATGAGAGAACCTTCCAGAAGGACAACCATCTGTGCAGCACTCCACCAATCAAGCCTGTATGGTAGAGTGGCCAGAAGGAAGCCACTCCTCAGTAAAAGGCACATGAAAACCCACATGGAGCACCGAGAGGACTCTCAGACCATGAGAAAAACAAATTGTCTGGTCTGATTAAACCAAAATTGATCTCTTTGGCCTGAATGCCAAGAATCATGTCTGGAGGAAACCAGACCTGGCCAACACCATCCCTACAGTGAAGCATGGTGGTGGCAGCATCATGCTGTGGGGATGTTTTTCAGCAGCAGGAACTGGGAGACCAGTCAGGATCAAGGGAAATATTAAAGCAGCAATGTACAGGGAGATCCTTGATGAAAACCTGCTTCAGAGCGCTCTGGACCTCAGACTGGGGCAAAGGTTTCAACAGGACAACGACCCTAAGCACACAGCCACGATAACAAAGGAGTGGCTTCGGGACAAGTCTGTGAATGTCCTTGAGTGGCCCAGCCAGAGCCCAGACTTGAACCGGATTGAATAGATCTGAAAATGGCTGTGCACCGACGCTCCCCATCCAAGCTGATGGAGCTTGAGATGATCTGCAAAGAAGAATGGGAAAAACTGCCCAAAGATAGGTGTGCCAAGCGTGTAGCATCATACTCAAGAAGACTGTAATTGCTACCAAAAGTGCTTCAACAAAGTATTGAGTTAAGGGTGTGAATACTTATGCACATGTGATATGAGTTTTTTATTTTAAATTAATTAGCAAAAATGATATAAAAACTTTTTAAACTTTGTTATTATGGGGTATTGTGTCTCGAATGTTGAGAAAACAAATCAATTGAATCAATTTTGAAATATGGCTGTACCATAACAAAATGTGGAAAAAGTGAAGAGGTATGAATACTTTCCGGATGCACTGTATCATCAGTGGTGGAAGAATGACTTAGATAGTAGAACAAATGCAGATATGCAAACATTTCAAAATATTCCATTACAAGTTAAAGCCCTGGACTCAACTGAAGTAAAAGTACACAAAGTATTATCAGCTAAATGACCTTCAAAGTAAAGTAAGTCATTCTGTAAAGCTATAATTTATACAACTGTTTTTCTCCACTGATGAACGTGTTCTGTTAAATTATTGTTTTTATATTAAATGTCATTGAACATGTAGAACAGTTACTGTAAGGTGTGTTGATTGTGAGGACTGTGTTTTGATGTCTTTATACTCTGCAGGTTTCAAACTAAGAAAGCGACAGATCACCAACGAGCCAACAGGAGGGCCGGGGAACTGCCCCCACCTGGTGGAGGCGGTGCCGTGCGACGAGCCCAATTGTTACGACTGGAAACTGACCGGCCTGGATCCGTGTGTTCCTGAAGAGGACAACCAGTGTGGCCCCGGCACTCAGATCCCTCAGGTCCAGTGTGTCAACAGCACTGGTGAGAAAACACTTCAGTCGCAGTTCAAGTTGATTACAAGATTTATACCTAATTAATTGTATGAGCTGTGCAGCTGTTGCTTATGCTTCATAATCTAAAAGGTGGTAACATGATTTAAAGGTCTCCTATCGTGCAAAATGTACTTCCTTATGTCTTTTATACATAATTATGTGTCCCCTCCCCGGTGTGTCAGGGAACTCACAAAGTGTCAGAAAATAAAACCCTCTCTCTTTTCCTCCGTACTCAAATCTCTAAGAACGGGGGTACAACGGAGCTGATCCAGATTTGCTGCCGAGATTACGTAATATCGGAAATGTGGGCTGGCTTTACACCCACGGCCCTATCAGAAACATCACTATCAGAAACAATGCACGACGTGTTTTGGACGTAATATGGTCTTTGTTTACATTAGCAAGCGTCGCTCACACTCAAAGCTAACATGTACTGGAGAGAGTATGTGTAAAAAAACAGGAAATAAAAAAAGGAACTCACCTTGTGGTAAACCCGCAAGAGAGAAAGCCTTTGAGCGCCATACTGTTTCAGAAATAATCCTTGATATGGTTTAGAACATGCTATGGCGTTTCTTCACGGCAGCATTTAGCTGAGTATCTTGTCGAATTCTGAGCAGGCACAAGCTCCCCCCCCCCTTTTTTAATAAAGCTACGGACCCAGAATCAGCACTTCTCTAACAGGGCTGAAATAGAGGGATATGAGGCATTGCTAGAATGGGTGATCTGTTTGGCATTTTGAGCAAAACACTTCATAGACATGTTTTTTATAATTCTTTTATATATCTGAGAACTATAATATATGCCTAAAAATAGCATGATAGGAGATCTTTGAGGCCTGAATGTGCTATTGTTAACACAATGCGGCGCCAGACAGTACAGTTAAGTCTGTCATTAACGTTTTAAGGGTGCAGTTAAGCCCAACCCCCGATGTAACCAAAGCCACAAAACAAATTAAGATTGTAAAAATTATTCCAACAAATAACCTCATTAGAAACAATAAAAAACAAGTTCAAATTAAATGTTTAGCAGATCTAATTAAATTGTCTTTCGAATATTTTTCTACCAAAATTGAGGACAAAATAAATCTTGAATCTCTAATCCATTTCAAAACACACTTTTGTTTTTCCACATTTCAAAAATATTTGTTATCAAAACAAAGCATTACTGATGTAACTTAATGGTTTGTGTTCCAGAGTTTGTGTTTGAGACTAAAGGGTGTATTGAAGAGAGTTGAAAGTCCAGCAGAGGATACATGTAAATGACCATCAGAAGGGTACAACATGTGACTGTTCTATGTTCTTGGTAAGAGTAAAGAAGGGTCAATTGTCTTAATAAAGTAATGAGTAAAAAAACCAACATATTATTCCCCTAGAGACAGCACTTGTTGATTGACATCATCCATCACAATTCCTACTTGCTTCTTCATCACTCTTACAGTGTGAAGTGCTTTTTGACCCACCTCTATTAACAATAAGAAGTGCAGGTCTGACCTTGTGTGCAAAATCAAGTATTTTCCAAGATCACCCCTCCACTCTGGCAGGGGACTCTGTACGTGAGGAGATTTCAGGGACTCAGCCCCATTCATCAACTGTGTGAGAGTTCTCTCCAGACTCCTCTCCCTCCAGGCCTCCTTCCTCGACTCTCTCTCCTACTTTAATGCTTGCTTGATTCAGCATTGCCACGCTGTGTCTCATTACAGTCTTCCTCTCTGCACGCACAATTAAACCTTACTCTCGCTAAATCAAATCAATCCTCTGTGGCCCCAGGTCTTCCAGTATCTAGTGCTCTTTGCTGCCCCTGATTTTTAGAGCTATGCTTTTTAACTCTTAATATTTAATATATAAGGTGCAGTGGTACAGATACGCTTTCCAGACTTTCCTTTTGCATTCAGGTTGTGAGCAAATGTTATACAAAATAATACATTTGATTTGTATTCTTCTGGCAAAGCGTAGATTACATCTATGAGGAAATACTAATATGTTTATTTATGTAAAAATGCTAATACTACAGTCTCATTTCACAGTAGTGTATTATAATAGGTAATGATGTTGGTCACTAATACATAGATGTAATAGTATGTTGTAGTTTGTATGTGGGAACACATTTACACTTTGTATACTACTGGTTAGTAATATAGTATTGTGTCTTTAGTAAAAAGTAGAATATTTCCTCTGAGATTTAGTGAAGTAGTAGTATAAAGAAGCATGACATTGAAATACTTAAGTAAAGTACAAGTACCTTAGCATTTAAAAAATGAACTACACCTATAGAAAGCATATTAAGTCCCAGAAGTACTCAGTAAATCTTAGTTTGTGATAATTTGGGGTCACTTTGTTCATGTTTTCTCTACTAGAGAACTTGATTTGTCCTTCTATCGTCCCCCACAAATCACAGTTTATGGTTTAAGTGCAGGTGTTTGGTGAAGTTGGCCCGGTTATTACTGCACCTGTTCTGCAGGACTCACACAGACTCTGTTCTTTCTGTCCTGACTTTGGTTGATTGATCCTCCCCCCACCTTCACTCCCTCATCTGATGAAAATTGATTTGTTCTGTTTGGATTTTCTGTTCGCGTTTCGCCTCAGAGAGTTCTCGCTGCAATGTCAGCTGAATATTTTTTTCCCCGAGTGTGTCGCGGCCATAAAAGAAAAGGCCACACAGCCGGGCCCCAGACAAGAGACGAAGGTCGATACAAATGTTATTGGAACTGGCTATTGATATTCCCGATGCTGACTGCCTGCCCACTTAGACTGGGAGCCGTTCCTCCTGTGCACTCTAAGCATGGGGGTCTTCCTCTCATAGTGGGAGGTTCATTCATGTTTTCTGTGTGTTAGCCTGAAAGCTGCTTGAGTCCCTTGTCGCTTCTTATTTTCATGCCTTCTCAGTTCACCCATGATTGCTCCACTGCACATCTGTCAAAGTGACATCTTAATGCAAAGTCCGGCCCGATCTGACGTTTGAAGCTCAAGTGATTCTCCTCAACTTCAATTCAATTTCAATTCAACCACTGAAAGCTTTATATTTGTGTGGGTGTATGCACTGCTTACATAGGAAATATGCTCTGCTTAGTTCATGGCAGCAAATGCAGCAACATAGAGGAATATGTGGGTTAATATAATCCACTTATCGCTGATGCTCGGAGCTCATTAATAAAACATGGCCAATAGTGTACAAATGTGGGAATCCCACGTGAGTCTGCTCTGCCCGTGTTCAATGCCAATTTAGTATGGAGATTGTCCGGAGTCAAGAGTGCATCACTATGAATATATAAAACACAGATAATCCATAAAAGGGGTTGTAATCAACTGTCATGTCAATATGGAATTCAGGAGTGAAATGTTTTGAATTATTTCTGTGGTGAAGCGCACTTATGTAAATCCAGGAGTAACAGAGATGTCACTGGTTTAAATACTGTTAGCAATTTTTGGTGCTTGGTTTAGATATTTTACAGGTTCTTTGATGCCGTCTGTGTTTCAACGTGACTTTCAAATGCAGTTTTACAAGGTAAAATGTGGGATTAAAAGGCAACTTCAGCGCTTGGAGATTCCCACAGAACACAATAAATAACTGACAGGCTTTATAACTTATGAAGTTATGTTGATGTTACCTATAAATCTTTGAATGAGATGTCAGTAAATGCCACAGTCCATCCTGATGTTTACAAACCTGGCCTGGTTTCCTATCAAACAGTGTAAAAAGAGCAGGAAGTCAATCGACTGCTTCAATACATCTCTTTTTCTGGACAGAATACTCTCTTACTGCTGTCTAGGAAACATTTTGTAATTTGCTTATGCAGTATGTCGACAGATGTCCTTGTGTAAACCAGACCCATGAATCAATCAAAGAATGCTAAATTGCTACTTGTGCCAGTTTATATTATATCTTACCCAAGTTGTCTTAGAGAAAACAGACGTCTTAAGAAAACGAGCACGTCTCTCAAATTCAGAATGGGCTGTGTACTTGACATCGCGCCATCAATTAAGACACACAGACAGCTGTTCGCACTGCTGCCACCGACTCTGTGCTGAAGAGAAGTCTGAGGGTGATAATCTCATTCTCGCAATGAATCTTTGAGCCCTCAAGTTTATATTCATTGCCCAAGGTTTGGTTTGGATTTATAGGGCAGTCACATGTGTACAAAGAAGGATGAAATATCGCACACAAACAATTGTGATAGATCCCAGGTAAACAAAACAAGATAATACTAAGAAAAGATGGCTCTTTACGTTGCTATGGTAGCAGTTTGGTAACATAAACAGGTCAGCACATGCTCTAGTGATACTTATACCGCAGTAATATTAGGGTTTTATCTTTTAATAAAGAGTAATATAGGTTTAGTTTCTCATGTAGTGGACTATTATTTCTACATTACATTTACTATCTCAAGAAATTCCCTGAGAGAACCATCTTTAATTGTAAGTAATTCAAATTAAAATACAATTTATCTTCCCTTATTTGCTAAATATTCCCTAAATATGTTTATGTAATATCATACAACTTTTTCTGAAACATACTCGGATTTAATTCCTGGAAGCACAGATGGTCAATTCTTAGAATAACAATGTTTATGTAAAAGCACATATCCTATTTGAGAAAGTAATTACAATGAATTAAATACTCAAACAAAACCACCTGTTTAGGCTATCAAGTCCACATAACACTTTAAAGTTTGTGTCCAGAGTCTTTACCTGGAAACACAGATGGTCATTTCTTAAAAACAACATTTACCTTAAAACACATCTGGAAATGTTCAAATAAATAACCAATAAACCAAGTTTTGAAATGCAAAACCATCTGTTTTGAGTTTCAATAAAGTACTTTAGGCCCGGAAAACATTATTACATAAAAACATAGCTGGGAGTTTCTGTGCAATAACTGCGAATAGTGGCTGCCTTTCTCTTTCATTTTCAGCATCATTTTTGGTAATTACTGAGGTTGATTTCCTCAAAACCCATTAGTATAAAACACGAATATATTATTACTTCACCACAATTAGATTAGTACCCTAGTCTTTTAATTACATCATATATTTCTAAGTATACATTATAGAGAATAGAAAATAGTTACTGTGTTATTTCCCCCTTTGTTTCTTCAGGAGCGGAAGTGGACAGGAAGCTCTGCACGTCCTCCCCGGCTCCAGAGCCCGTGGCCTGTGAGGTGCCTTGCTCAAGAGACTGCGTGCTCAGTGATTGGACGCCCTGGACCAGCTGCTCCCAGACCTGCTCCAGTAAGACCATCGAGGGGAAGCAGATGAGGACGCGCTCCATCCTGGCCTACAACGCCGGGGAAGGTGAGTTCTGCAACATTTAGTATGGAGATGTATGCAGATGAGGCCCGGATATTGACTTCCTCATGGCCTTTCAAGTTGTCCTCTGCTGTCACTCACTGAATGTCTAGATTTCACACTTGTCTGCATGTGCATTTCTCCTTATCTCACACAGTCTGCTTATCTGTCCTGGTGATTATTTCTGTTGGTCTGTCGCCTCGCCTGACACTTGCTTTTTATCAGTTTCTAAGATCATTTCTCTGCTTATGCTTGTTCTTTCTGGTTTATACCTCTGTCTGCGTCTGCTCTTCTTTTTGTTCTTCTTTTTTGTTATGTTTCAAAACATTTTCTTGCATCTTATCTAGGTGTGTGTGTGTGTGTGTTTTCCTTACAGTCACTGCGATGGTTGTGGCGTGGATCACAGTGATGGAGGGTAACAGTTGTGATAGGATTTTAGCTGTTTTAAACCTCTAGCTGTGTGTCCACTTCATTTTTTTGCTTGTTTTGAGTTTTTAAAACAACATTATCAGCTTTAGGGTAACTTATAATGTATTTAGATTGTATTCATCCCGTTGTAGTGCAGTTTGGATGTGTTTATTCTGTTGTTCTACAGTTGTATTACTTTATGTACTGCATGCCTCACCTATCACATTCATATATTTAATATCTGTCTTTATCAAAGGTCTTATACGGGTGCCCAGGTTTCCAGAACTTGTTGGTAAATTCTTGATGTTAGACTAGAAGTATAGTAGCTGTACTTGTATTAGCTTTAGTATGTTTTAAAAATCTGATGGAATCATATCAAAATATATCCTGCTGTGTTTTCTGACACACATTTTTATAACGTACTCAAGACATATTCTCACACATGCTCAAGAACAATACCTGAAAGACGTCTCCCCACCACAGGGGGTAGGAGTAGATTATCTGATAAGACTCAGAGCTCCTTAGCAGCTTTTGCAGCTCTTGTGTTGCATATTAATGAAAAATAGTTGAAAATACAGGAACTACTCAAAGCTTTTACATACAGGGTTCACGTTAATAAGCAACCACCAATATCTTGACATGTGCTAATTAATACAGCAATACGCCTAATTAATGACCATTTAGCATAACTGCTTACACTTTATTCACAGAGATTATTATGGGACTTTATGAAGCCCAAGTGCCTCTTACTAATTTAGTTGAATGCAATTCAAGATGCTTGCTCAGTGAAAATTGCTGCAGCTCTTTGTGAATGAGCCAGCAAACTGTAATTTATCCTGCAAACACGAATCATTGCTGGCTTTCTTTGTTTTGTTTCTGGTTTGTGTTTCTGTAAGCGGCTTCACATTTTCCCCATTGTCCAACATGCAGATTTTCTAGGTCATTGTTCAGCAGCAGCTAATGCTCATCATGCTAGTGTTGGGACATTGTTAGTCAGCTCCGTTGTCAGCAGATCGGTAATCATGCTTGGTAACTAAAAGTTGAGATTTATCTGAGTTGGCAGTCTGTGATTCAGACCCGACTCTGTGTGCACCGCCACTCATTATGGAGCTGGCTCTCTGTCAACTCCAACAGCGAAATACAGGTGTTGAGGATTCAAAATCCCTCAATGCCTCTCAATCTCTGCTGAAAGGCCTAAGTGTCTGCAGTTACTCTAAACCTGAGAGGGCTCCATCGACACACCGACTGACTGTCTGACTGACAAAGAGAAATGAGAGGGAGACAGGCAGATGAAGAGGGAATGGGACTAACAATTGATGGGATTGTGCACAACAAGGACCCTTATCAGAAGGAATGTAGCACAAGAAAAAAGCGAGAGCATTGCTCACTTTTTTTGAATATAAAGTAACATTGAAAATATTGGGTCATCAAAATCACTAAATAATTGTGATGAATATTTCTATACTATTGAAAATGATTGTGATTAGCGTGCTCAGGTAGCTCATTAATAGGTGGGAGGCTATGTTGAATACGACCTGCGCCCCTTTGCCACATGCTGTCCGTATATCTCCCCCTTCTCAGTATATTGGTCTTCCACTGCAAGGAGAGGCAAAAAGGCAATTTAGTAGTAGTTGATTAAGTACATTTTTCATCTGGAGTGTGTTTTTGTATTTCTCAGGTGGAGGCGCATGCCCGAACAGTAGTTCCCTTCAGGAGGTTCGGAACTGTAACGAACACGCCTGTACGGTTTACCACTGGCAGACGGGTCCTTGGGGTCCTTGTACCGAAGACCCCTCCGCTTCAACCCTAAACACCTCCACGGCAGTCGGAGCCAGCGGTGGTGGTGGTCCCTGCTCCACGGGATTGCAGACTCGTAAGGTCATCTGCGTCCGGGTCAACGTTGGACAGGTGCCCCCCAAGAAGTAAGCTCTTTTTCTTCTTTTTCAGTTCCTTGGGAACACGTGTTTGTTGGATTTATTTACCAGTGGTGTCCGGTCGTGTTTTTCCAATGACACACTGCTGCAGCAGTCTTATTTAGACTTAATGGTCATTTCTTGCTTCGCTGGTTTGTAGGTGTTTATAGCTGTGAAATAAGGTCTTGGAGAGTTGTGTTGGAATGAAATTGCTCACTCCTCAGAACTAATATCTGAGCCTGATGTGGTTCACAATCATGCGCCTTCAGGATCCAAGGGTAGGCACGTTTTCATTTCAAAGAAATCTCTGCAACAGCTGATTCTACTGATTTGGGAACCTTTATCTAAAAAGAAAAATCAAATCCGTTTCATCTAGAGCTGCCGTTCTGAAGATCGAGAACAGGGAGAGCTCCGTGGTCTTATGATGTGTGAAATAATTTGTTAAATAACCTTTTTTTTTTATGGATTGTTGCTAGATTAATAGACCAACGAGAGTAATAATCGTTCCTAAAGCACATATTTAAAAACACTAGCCTACATTATGAGGTCTAACAGTAACCCTTTATCATCTGTTGGTGAAGAGATCAAGTAATTGAGTGTTTTGATTTGAAAGCACATCAGTAGACCATTGTAAAGATACTGTATTTGTAATTGACATTGAACAGAAGGAAAATAAAGAAAAGAAGAGTCAGGAGGTGAGAGGCAGATGAGAGGAGCAGAAGTGTTGTGAAGGGAAGTGACAGCGGGAGACTAGAGAGTCAGAAATAACAAAAACCAAGGAGACCCTGACAGAGCTGGTTAAGTAAGCAGAGCAGACTCTTTGCAAAGTTAACACCCAATTGATATCTTCCCTTTGCAGGAGACCAAATAAATAATCTCTACGTCCCTGAAAGCCTAATTAACCCTGCCGTTTTGGGCGCTGGCAATTTCTCATTGATGATAATAACAGTAATTAAATGGGATTGATACTTTAAGGCAATTTAATCATGAGGCAGATGAGAGACAAGATGTTTGTGGTTAGCTCTGAAGTCTACACCGCATGAGGCGGATTCAAAATATGCTGTCGTGTTAAAGTCTGCCAGAAAGATCAGCTTTAGTGTGATGCTTAATGTTTGACTGGTTCACTGGACAACAAAAGATAAAGGAGTGGACTGTGAGTGTCTACATTTGTTTAAAAGAAACCCCAATGAAGATTGATTGCGGAAAGTCCCAAAAGCATCCTCTAATATATGTTTAGTGTCTCTCTCTAATTCAAACAGATTCCTCCTCCTCTTGTCTGACACCTCCAAAGCGTGGTTATCAGCAAACAGGGGATAGGAACATCGATGATTTAAAGAGTACGAGTGTGTTGTGTAGGTACAAGTACAAGGCAAATGTGATTTGCAGAGAGCACCACATGATAAAATGAAGATGAATGCCCAGTTTCAGCGGTGGCTCTGTGAGCATCTGACCCTGACACTGCAGCAGCTGCACTTAACGGGCTGCAGAACAGAGGTCGAAGACCAGGATGCCTTTCATTCCTTTTATTTTAAATCCACACCGGCAACGCTGGAGAAATAGAAAAACACCAGCCCAGCGGGTGGGAGGGCTCGAAGTGTCAAGGGTAATGGCATTGAGTTACTGACAGAAAAGCTTTTAGTCGATTTGCCTCCATTATCTGTAGTCGATCAATTTGTATAAAAAAAAAATAATCAAATAAACAATAGCATCCCTTATGACTAGTAAACACAAGATATTTGACTAAGTGGACTCCTATCAAGCACCTACTCACCCTCTCAGCAGGATGTTATTGTTGTTGACCTCAGTTGAGTGGGTTTGAGGTTTTGGGTAATGAAGGTCACATACTTTTCTGAACATATGCCTGAAGGTGTTTGACATTTCCAACCTGTGTACCTTTATTGTTGACTTATCTGACGTGCAAATACCACAGGATGTCTTTAATATCTTGTGATGCTGTTGTTGTTATTCTTTCATTATTTGCTGTAATGGATAAATCAATTAAGATGTGCAGAGATCAATGTGCTACAGGCTATCCGACAGGTTGTAAACAAATCCCCACTTGAAAACTGCAGCATTAAAGGGTAGGTTCAGCCTTCAATACCTAAATGCCCGTGTATGTACATTCATCGAGGGGGTTATTGATCTTTTTTGTTCACCATCCTCTCTCAACATAACTGGTGGATTAGAGACCTAAGGGTCCGCTTTATGTGAGTGGATATAGGGAACTGTTAGACCTGATATGGGCTTTTACGTTAAGTGTGGCTATTCTGGTGTTTTTGTTTCAGTAATGTGGGGAATTGGAAGACTGCTCTCTGACTTTTAGAGTTAATATACAGCCCTCTCAAGCTCTCATTGTCCACTTTAATGTTACTCTATACTCTCATTTTGGGATTGAGCTTCCATCTTCCATTTAGAGACTTCCTGCATAGTTTGTATTTACAGATTTCAACACAGTTAAAGGTGGGGTAGGTAAGTTTGAGAAACCGGCTCGAGATACACTTTTTGTTATATTCCATGGAATGCTCTTAACATCCCAATAGCAATGAATATCTGAAGTGCTTTGACAAAAAATCCATAAAAAAATGTCATCTGTGGAAGCCTACCTGTCTGTGCACAAACTTATCTCGTGCCCTCATTGGTCATTCTTGAAAGAAGCACTGTAAATGCTATTTCTGTCTCTCTGCACAAAGTGAGGCTTCTCTTCACCTGCCTTCATAGACTGGTGGTGCTGAAGAAGCTTCCATTACACTGACCCTTCCGGTTTATAACCCTCACTATGCCCATGACGTCCTTTTGTAATCTTACTGCTGTAACACTCAAAGGTGTTGATTCAAGTCTTTAGGAGGATTTTCCTCAGCCACTGTCACTGGCAGGGGTCCAGTAACAGGCTTTAAGCCGGTATGTTGACTTCACGAAAGTTAAAGCCAAGAACTGTTATACATACACACTAACACACAGAGGACATCAAATAATTTCAACGCCTCATGGGAAATTAACTTTGACTCTTCAACTCACAATGACAAACATTGCCACCAAGATGTGTCCTATTAGATTGATTGCCAATTAGCCACATTTGTTAGCTTAAAGAGGGGTATGCCAATCAACACGTTTTCAAATCAGCATGAGTCAATTAGCAGAGCTGGAAGAGGCCAAATCATCGCTACTTAACATGCAGGAGCATTGGTCTAAAAATGGAGAGGAACGGATTGAAAAATATGTCAACATGCAACAAACTCAAACTGCAGTGATTGAAATAAACACAAGTCCACAATGATTAACATTTACACAATTGCAGGAAGGAAATGGTGCTCAAATGGTTCAACAAAGCGTCAGACTAGAACAAGTTACCCATTTTCAACCAACATAGAAATGTAAAGATGGTGTGTACAGAGAAACAGCATGACCCATGAATAGATAATACATTCACCTTCTTGAAACAGTTCACTCCAATGATTCCAATAGCTGTTCAAGTGGCATGAAAGCTAGATGATGTGAAGACAAAAAAGTATGATATATTATTTATATATATTTTATAATAGAGATCAAACCATTCAGTGATTCCCTAATGCATTGTATGGATTGAAGACATTATGTTTCTCTGCTCATTCAGATATTTACTTGTCACTTTATCTGTAGTTGAGTAAACGTTGTGGTCCATCTTTTATCCAAGCTTTGGTTGCTTTTTATTTCCCAAAAGGACAAGGCAGACCAACAACAAACAAACAAAACAACTGGCACTTGATTTGTACCTTTCTTGACCAAAGGAAAAGCATACATTTGAACAGTGTCCCCGGCCATCTGTTGCTCAGAGAGACGGTGTTTTCAAGCCTATACTCAGAAGTGGCTGGATATTGTTATTTCCTTTTTCCTTTTTTCTTCTTTGCTACATGTCTTCATCTAGCAAAACCCAACTGGCAGGTATTTTTGATCAGTGCACCCATGGGATCCCAGCAGAACAAACACACATGGCCACCTGCACCCTGCTTATGCAGATGTGTCCTGTCTTATTCACCGATGGATCTGAGCTGTCTTCCTCCCGCAGCCCTAGGCAGTGAACCTGAGTGTATGTCACAAACACACACACACACACACACACACACACACACACACACACACACACACACACACACACACACACACACACACACACACACACACACACACACACACACACACACACACACACACACACACACACACACACACACACACACACACTGTCACAGCCCAATAAAAATCGGGAGCCACAACAGAGATAAATATCTCAGTGCCTCAGGCTTGGGCTGCTATCTTCATATCGAGAAAAGCTGTTGTGGTGTGAGGAAAAAAAACAACAACGTCTGCTTATTGATTCTGACAGTCTGTGTGCTGCATGCTACCAAATGTGTCTTTGTATAATCACATTGATGCTGTGGAGACCGAATGATTCATGGTTATGATGTTCGGCAGTAGCTGTATTAATGCCAGTCAATCATCTCGCTGCCGTGTTGTCTAATGGAGGCTGTGTTTACACTCTGCTTTTCACTCTGATATATCAACCCAGTCTCACGGCATTTCGTGTTCACCAACACGATTTTTAATCTATTGATTCGTGTTCACCAACACGATTTGCCCCTTTTTTTCGTGTTGCACAGCACGATTTTAAAAGCAATGTATTTATACTGCCTGCAGCACGTCTTTTTCTCCGGTCGGGTCGAGGAAGACCGGAACTGTGTGGTTCATAAAAACATGTTCTTACTCAATATCAAGCCACAGTTATTGCTTTTATTTGAAAACGTATAATTTCGGACTTTTGTTGCCGTCTGTGAGGAAAATAAATGGGGCTCAGAGCCTCAGAATATGGAAATCTGTATTTTTAAATATATTTTCCTTCTAATTTGTTATTCTTTTCAAAATAACACACTGTTATTTACTCACCAATAACACACAATTATCCTAGCTTTTATTTATTGGTTTAATTCCATAATCTCGGGCTTTTTTGGTGTCCGTCAGGAACTGAATTTCAAAAT